CACTGGGTATATTCTCACTACTGTCCATGTGGGTGCAATGTGTTTTAGATGTTCATTTTCTGTGTAATTTTGAATTAGCCCTTTTAGCTCACTTGTAATGTGGGGATAACAGGAAGGAGATCAACTAGGTCCAGTCTAGAATACCTTGAAAGAAAATGTTGGTAGAAAGAAATGCATAGAGAACTCTTAAATGTGGGAGGAATCACCCAATCCCAGTAAAATGAAGGCAGGCAATGCAAGCCACTGAAGAAAGCTGAAAGAGTATGAGATAAGGTAAGGCCTGGGGGATGGAGAGTGTGCATCCCATTTGCAGGCATTCAAATTCCTCAAATAAAAAGCATCAATCCAATAAAACTCACCTATCACATGCTATGACTTTAGTCTAAATACCTTACTCACTGGGCTGCACTTGGGTTGGAAGGATGAGAGAAGCTAGTGTGCCTTCCTATATGGAATGGAATGGTGATTTTTTTGGCTGGGAATCTTCTCAAATCAGTTTCTATCCCCATAGCATAATTCCTTAATTACCCAACTGCTACAACAGTTTGCTGATGAAAGTGAATACTCTGAAACAAACAAACAAACCCTAATGCTTTTCTTGAATATTGAAAATCAAATAAAACCAAAACACACTATAATCAGATCCCAGCATTGTCCCACCTATGTCTGATAAAGATTAGGAGTTAAGCAAGCCTTGAATCTATTAAATGGCAAATGCCAGGGTACAATGTGATTTCTCTGAGTAGCTCTCCCTGCTCTGTGTATAGTTTTTTCCTGCTGTGTAGCTGGAGACTACCCTGAATCCAGGGCATACTTTAAAACCATTTTCCTCTAAGTGACTTAAAAAAAGGATTCATAAATAAAATAAATTTTGAAAAAGTCCTTAATCCTCATCTTCCTAGCTTTATATCCTATTACTCTGAGTAACTGATATGTGGGAAAACACTTCTCAGTTTCAATTTAGCTAAACCTCCGATTCACAGGAAACCACTTTTAAATTGTTCATGTAATTCTTATCAATCAGCTGGGTCTGTGTAAAGGAAATAGGAATATGGAAACCTAATCACTCCCTTTGTGAAAAATCACCATGTCCCTCTGATCAGGGGAAGACCTGAGTCTAGAAAGTCTTTTTCCACATTCCCACTGTTTCCCGGCTGCTTCATTTTAATCACAATGTTTTTGAGCTGACCTATGACTTCCTAAGTTTTCTGGGCAAGGGTGGATGTTATGGATACTTGTCCTAGGGAAGCCTAGTGGCAGATACTCTGTCACTAGAAACTGATGTTTCAAGCACTCCATTTGCACACAGTGAGATGGGCCTCCTTGAGAAACTACTTAGTCACAAGTGCAATCACAGTAGGCGAATAGAGTGGGACACACATCCTGGAGAACGAATCATAGTATTTTTATTGGTTTGTTGTATTTTACCCTTTGTTATAAAAGAATAGTATCAGAGTTCACCTTATAGAGAGAAATGTGGAAAACTAAAAATGAGCAGGAAGGAGACTATAAAACCACCCAGGCTGGTCATTCAAGTGAATCCTTTTATGGTTAGTGCATATCTATTTACTACATTCTAGTGGGTCATTATTCTTGGGGGTAATTCATCTTACAAATTACCTGTGGTACATTTTCTATCATCAACAAAACCCACACAGACTTCATGAGAGAAGTGCTAGTTGTGAAGGTATGAAGTGCAAGTATGTTATAACTGCTCTTCTTTTGCTATGCACATTTTGAATGCTTTCAAACTCTGCATGATTGGACACAGACCTTATGAGATTTGCATTAGCTGGACTATGGCAGAAAATCATCCACATCTGACTAAACTAGATGACTTCAGTGCAGCTCTCTTGGGCTGAAACTAGTTCCACTGACTCACTTTGCACCAGGAAAATACTTAAAATATAAAATTTGCTGTGCACCCACTCAAAGACCTAAAAGACTAAGTCTGGTCATATTGACAGGTAGGAGGTAGGCAAGGTAGATAGGTAAGTAGACAGACATATATACACATGTATATAAAATCAACTTGTGTTGATTTTATGATATAATTTACATACAATACAATGTACCCATTTAAAACCATTTAAAGTGAAGAATTTTTTTTGATTTTTTTTGGTGGTGTTGGAGGTTGAACCCAGGGCCTCATGCATGCACTCTACCACTGAGCTATATACCCAGTCCTAGGATTTTTTTTTAACATAAAAGTTTTTAGCCTTATCGAGACCAAAAGATGTCATGGAGTGCTCCTTGCTCCTCTTCCACAGAGCATCTCAGGCAAACAGTCGAGCCACACAGATGGTCAGTGGCAAAGCAGGGAGGGGATGCCCAATCTGTAGGTTCTAGTAAAAATCAGTGTATTGCTTTGGCTATTATGAGTGCAAACTCACCCTTGCAGGGGAAAAAGACTTCACATAGCAGACTGTGTACATGCAGCAGCCCCTGGGTTCTGACTGTTAAAAATGAACATTGAACTGCTGGCTGCAGAGAGTAAAGAAAAGGAAATGAAGGAGAATGCCTTGTGAACAGGGCTGTGTGGAATGAAGGACTGAGAGGGCTTACTGAAAAGTGCAAGTCTGAGGTGTTGAAGTAATTCCCTTCAATGTTAGCAACTAGATGCTGTCAAATAAAATTTATAAATGACTTTTAAAACTGCTTCCTCTAGCAACAAGAGCTGTTATTGTCACATTGATTTTAAAATTAAATGTTATGGAATTTTCTTGCTTTAATGAGATAGCAGATCCATCTGGTAAACAAAGTAATAATTAAAGCAATTAAAAGAGTAGAAATGAGAAATAAAGTAACAATGCTATTTCTGATCCTTAATCCAAACAATTGCATTTGGCTGATATACCCATATTTATCTGCAGGTAAAATTATTGAGGAACACTGCTCACTATGAATAAGCCCGCCCTTTCGTCAGAGGGGAAAAGTCAGTAATGTCATTTGTTTAAAAATCTGCCCACACCTGGTTCTCATTTGTTCTCCAGCTGAAAAACCAAAGACAACTTTTTATTGCTTGTGGTCAAACAGCAAGTTCATTTTGCCATGGGATGATCAAACGGCCAGCCTCCCCCAGGCTGAGAAGGTTTGCCTTTCACTTCCAACTTGTTCAATCATCATTAACTCTGAAAATTGTCACATTCCATTTGGGCAATGAAAATTTCACCACTGGTGACCGTTTGGATGAGGTTTTTGTAGGCAAGGCCCTAAATCTTGTAGAGCACCTCACACATTCTCAAGGTCATTTGCCTTGTTTCCTTGTTTAATGACAGTTGCTTAAGATTCTGGAGTCAGTCTGTGACCCAACAGCGGCAACTTTTAAGAACATTCCGTACGTAGGTATGTGTTACCCTCTCTCAGATCGGAAAAGTTCCTTGAGTGAACTGACACATGCATGTTATTAGAAAACCGAGGTGTGTGCACTCATGTGTGCATATGCCACACACCAGTAGCCCTCTCCCTGTTTGTTACATGTTATACATACATACTAAGGATTTTCACCAAGCTGAAATAAAAGTTTTCTTTATTGGGAAGATACCAGTAAAGAAGACCACTGAATGGAATCCATTTAAAAGCAGGATTTCCTGACTCTGCGAATCCAGATTCCCTAGAGAAGCTGCAACATCAAAGTTGAAAGATTCTGGAAAGGAAAAATCTGCTCCTTTTCACTATTGCCATTAGCCTTGAGAAATCTTCACTCCTTTGTTTATTATTTCATTATATTTCCCCTCTGCAGAGGGATCCGAAATATTAACTCCCAGTGAATCTGGCACAGGGCCTAATTCCAGACAGGACAGGCACTCTCCAAATGTGAATTTTAAAAAGTGGATGTCAAATGGCAAGATGGCTAAATTAAGAGGTTGCTTGATCCAGAGTCTTAAAAACATAGCATCTGCTAGGGCAAGTCAAATAAGATTGTGCCATTTGGCAAGTAAGTCATAGCTAAAACAAGTTCCAGTTAGAGGTCCTGATTAAATCTTCAAGATTAAAACCAAAAGAATGTATACACAGAGTTCTTCAGTGCTTCCAGTGCCTTGGCACTAACATACTTATTAAATGGTCTCCAAAAGGGACTTGTTGTTTTCTAGTTCTAGTTCTAAGTGCAGGTTTCCCTGGGTGAGCAGCTGAAATAAGGAGACTATCAGCAGGTCTGGATTATAGACACAATGCCTTGGCTCTTTTCAGCTAGCTCTGCCTCAAAATATATTAAAATATTTATTTTTGCCAATATCCAGTTTTTTAATTCACTAGTAGAATTTGGAAGCAGAGAGAGGGCAGAAATAGTAGAATCCTTTCTCTTTTTTTCCCCAATTCCTCTGACTAATACCAGAGCAGACCTTAAGTCTAAAGAAGAATCCTGTACCTCCTAAGACAAGAAAAAGAATGTCCTACCATTTTAATGGCTGAGTTGACAGCCCTGCCTTTTAAGAAAAGAGATTCCAATACTATGTAATTTAAGTTTGTGCATGGTTTCCCACGAAGGATATTTTTCATTCAAAGACTTGCATATATGCCCCCTGAATTATTCTATAAGAACTCCTTTAATCCTTATAGTAATTGTAAGTGTTGAGGTCACTTACCTGTGGTTATAGAACCCAGGAAGGCTGAGTCTAACTCTATTGCACTACACAGCTATATTTTCTCATGAAGATCTCTCAGGAGATGCAACCCAAATGCCCATTTATCTGTGGTTCCAGGTTGGGCAGATGGTGTGCAGAGAGAAAAGTGTTTCATCTGTTTGTTCCTTTTCACAGGGATTGAAAAATGGAGACCACATCTCTAAACTTCCCCTTTTGTCTTACACTCATTTCTTCTCCTTTTGTGTCTCCACCTTTGTGAAGGTCAGCCTTCTACCACTGGCTCCCAAGTGAGCAGGTAAGCTGTCCTTCTCTGTGTCATCTATCTCTCTGCTCACCCCCTTACACACACACACACACACACACACACACACACACACACACACACAGCTATTATTGTGCTTCAGTGAAGCTGTGCAGGGCTTGTGATCCAGGCATAAAAGTAGACATCATTTGCTCATTACAGCTAAGTTTTCAGGACGTGCCCCACTTACTGACCTCCACTAACGGCCTGGGTTTGCGCTCGACTGCAAACCTGAAGTGGCAGAGTTCACAGTAGTTGGTGTTTGAGGACGACAGCCAGTGCTCCAGGCAGCTCCGATGAATTGTCCCCAAGGTCCCCGTACATTCACATGGAGAGAGCAAGTCCTCTTGGCTGCTACCCTCATGGCAGATCCTGCACATCGGCCGGTCATTGAAGGGGCTGCAAGAGAAGGAGGGGCACCTGCTGGTCACTGGGCTGTGACCTACCACCATGTGGAGGGCCTCTAGCTCTGTATCCTTTGGGCCCTCCAAGTGGTAGTTGCTCAGAATAGACACCTCTTTAAGGCCCCTTCGATTTTTACACTTGACCTTGGCAGTGGGGCCAGTGATCCTGGGCACTCCAGAGCACTTTTGCCAACATAGAGAAATAGAGTATGGCCAATATCAAAGTAGCCAGGTGTGGACCAGGGCCAAAAATGAGTGAAAATGGGCAACATGTTATTTTTATCTAGAACATAGATGAAGTTCAGGCAAACTACCAATTAAAAAACAGAAGTCATTTCTTATTAAAAACAGAAATTGAAATATCAGTTGTAGTATCTAGACAAATTATATCCTCTGAACTAGGCCAGGGCACTTTTGTGTACACAAAGGTTCTTTTTATTTCTCCTTTCAATAAAGTGGGAGAATGAGAGCAGGGAAATGAACTGGCAACCAACCCCGAGGCTGCCACACAGAACTGCAAACTGAGCCAGGCACAAAGCTGAGTGGTAGATGGCCCTTTGAGCTTTCTAAGGATGTTCTCTGGGATGCCAAAGACACTACACTGAAAGCGAGTAGTGAATATGTTCTACTCTGCCTAGAGTTCTACCTTCAACTTTAGAAAGCCCACTCCTGCACATTTTGTAAAGGCAGAGCCTATAGTTAACATTTCCTAGTGTAGGCTCTACAATCCAGCTACCTGGGCTCAAACCCCAGCTGTGGGGCTTAACTGTCAGCTAACTTTGGAAAAGTAATTTCAGCTTCCTGTACTTTAGTCTCTTGGTTTATAAAATGGGTACAAAGAATGGTGAGGATGAGAAATGCTTACAGCAAATGCCTCATTAATGCTAGCTAGCGTCACTTGTGGAAGAACTTAGGTCAAGAAAAATCAAATCATATGGTCCTCATTATGCAAGTCCATGGCCAATGGAAGGATCAAACTAAGATGGCCTCACCTCTCAACTGGTCTTGTGTCCTTAAGAGGACCATCCTCCTCTCAACCTACATCTTCCTATGTTGTTGTGCTAGTCTTTGTTGGGGATTAGCTTTTTTTAAATGTCATCATGATATGTGGCAACCCTAGGACTGGCCTCCTCACATACCTTTCCCTTCCACTCCCTACATACCCCAAAGATGACAGTGACCTAGGTCCATGCCCCATCACTCTCTTCAACACTGTCTTTGACCCAAATGGAAGCAGACATGGAAACATGGCCTTTCTGGGAAAAATCCTGAGACTGAGTGAAGGCTAGAAGGAAATTAAAAGAGGAACCAGTCTCCCTCTCACTTACCCAAAAGACCCACTCATGCTTGGGCAGGAGAGAGGGAGAAGAAAGATGACAGAGTTGAGTTTTTTCTCCTAGCCTCCTTCATTGGCTTTGAGCTGTATGCATGTAGCACTGCAACTTTCTAGTGTGTTAGGACAGCAGGTAAAAATGCCTGACACACACACACACACACAGAGACACACACACACGCACTGGCTCACAGGTCTCAGTCACTTCAACCCAGCCTGCTCCTCCTGATGGGTCACAGTGACTGATGACTGCCAGGGTGACCAGTGCATACCCAGTCATCTAGTCTCAGTTCACAGAGGGGCCAAGGACACTTACCACCTCATTGGGTTCTGTATCCTAACCAATTGTTTGAAGTTCTCTAAGAAGTGGAAAAACATATATCACATATTCTTTCTATTTCTTTCCTTTGTGGCAGATACACAGATTTTTAAATAGAAGGCATATGATCGATGGTTATAGCATGCATGGGTGTGATTTAATGTCTGAGAGCCACTGTGTCCAGGCTGTGGTGCCACTAGTAGTCTTATTGCAGGCACATGAGGAACCTGTGGGCTTATGTCTGCCTCAGAGCAGTTGATCAATCACTTACACCCAGGTAAGTGGCCAAGGTGTGAATAAAAGATCCATGGTTTCAGGATCAGAAGTGCCAGAACTAACATTAGGGGCAAGTCTGGTGGTGACAGGTATTTTACATTTCTAGGTCAAAAGTCCCACTTACTCATTTTGAAAGAAAGCTGGAGAAGCCAACACTCACTTATAAGCCTGGCAGTCCATAGCTCCTAACCTGACACTGGGAACAGCAGCACAAGAGGTAACCCCCAGGGACAAAGTGCTGCCAGGGTAAGTGGTCTCTGAGATGTTCAGAGCCTTTGTTCATCTCTACATTGTTCATCACACAGGAAGATAGCTGTGGATGTTGACAGTAGCACTTCACAGGCTGAAGTATATGTGAAGGGTTACAGATGGGGGCCACAGAAAATGAAGGACAACAGAAGAGGCCCCTCCATGGTGAAAGGCCCCTCTACTCCAGGGAGTGGACAGTGTGCCCACTGTGTGATGCTGATCAGTATGCACAGTAGAAATGTCACTTCAAAAGTTTTGCCCATAAATCTGTTACCTGAAATTGGGTACCTTCTTTATTCTACTCTAACGCCAAGGGCTACCTTTGTTAGCTGCTGGAGACAATGAAAGCATACTTGCCATAGCAATGTCAAAATAACAAATGTAAAGCAAGCCACCACGTCTTTTGGGATCCTTCCCCAGCTGGCTCTCTATAAGTGTAACATGTAGAGAGGAGTCAATACTTGACACCATGAATTTGAGCTTCATGCCCTATTGCTATAGAAACAGCAGTAACAGAACTTAGGTAGTCTTTTTTTCCCCCAGCACCTTCTCTGACCTGACACAAAGGCCAGAGCACTAATCACATTCCTTTTAGCATTTTCGTCTGACAAACAGTTCTCTGGATCAATTACAGATTCATTTATTTTAATTGTGGTACTACCTCTGGGTGGCAAGAGTCCGCACTACTGATGACAACAGCTGCCCGTCCTTGGCTGAAACTTGCATGACATACTGTGGCTGCCCATTCACGAGGCTGCCACAATCCTCCACGGTCTTCACCACGGGTGCAGCCGAGCTGGTGCAGTCTGGCAGGACTTCGGGCAGGTGACTGCAGCGGCTGGTTGTCATGGCAACAGACAGCAATTACTCTGCTAATGGCTTCCACATTCGTAGAGGATTTCCATCTAAGAGAGATCAGAAAACAGTTTACTTGGGCAGGGTGGTTAACAGAAAATGGAGAATTGTGGGCCACCAACATCATGATGTCATTGCTTAATAAAAATATCAGGGTTGCTTAGGCATGGCACATTATCTTGTTACCATTAAAGTAACAAGTGTGTAACACAATACAAGTGTGCATGCACAAGCCCGCCTGCTGTGTACACGTGCCCCACACAGCCCACAAGAAACAGTGAATGTGGTTATGAACAAGACGGCAAGCATGTGTGTCTATAAACATTCAGGAGCCCTGCTTTACATAAGGGGCAGAATGATGGCTCTGAATTCTAGATCTGAAGAGAAGATAAGCAGTTCTCCCGTTCTGCACAAGAGAAGCAGTAACAGTCTCTAAAAGTTACTAGCTCATTATTAAAACCATTTGCAACTATTTTTTTCTTGTAAGCAATTTATTCTCCATGCAGCTTCATTCTGAGATAGATTAAAAACAGGGAGGGAGAAAGAGAATTTGGCCAAGTAGCACATTCCAGGACAGTATTTGCCAAAAATGTTAGCATTTGATTATTGTTCCACCTTTCTGACATTTGCCTTATCTATGCTCACTAATGTAAGTATTTACTTAATATGTCTTGAAGATTAAGTTTCTTTAAAAAGTTAACTTATGGACTGGAGGTGTGGTTCAAGAGGTAGAGCACTTTGCAAGTGTGAAGCCCTGAGTTCAAAACCCCAATCCTATAAAAATAAAAGTTGAAAAAGTTAACTTATTTTAGTCTGTCTTAAACAAATTTCCTCATGAAATGGTTAGTTTGATGAGCTTGTTTTTTTTTCCAAATGAAATGGACATTAAAATAAATGCAATAGCAGTGATGTTCTTGTTTGTGTACTATCCAAAATCCAAGGGCACATGCATCAGCATAAGGAACCATGTAGGAGAATGTAAGAAAGCGATGTATGGTATCTCTATTGTTGATTATAAATAATCCATTATCAATGGCCTTACTTCCCTGACAGACTCTACCATATAAACTGCAAGATTCTGTTCCTGATCTGTGAGGTGCAGGGGTAGGTTGTGACCTCAAGTTTGAAGCATTAAGACCCACTAGAGTAAGGAACTCTACCATATCCTATTGTTGGCAATAGGTCATCATGTGACACATAAGAAATGCAGGGCTATGTAGAAACCCGTAAGAGGACATGTGTCCAAAGGTGTGGTTGTCACGTCCCACACATGCCCTTCCTGCTAGCCTACTCACCTCAAACTCCACATGGCTTGGGCTCAGATGGCGGTGGCAAGATGGGTTGATGCACCAAGCTCATGTCAATAAGCAGTCTGGGTAATGAAAGCCCCATATCTAATTAAATGAACATCTTGTCTTCCCCCCACTCCAAGAGGACATTTGGAATTCCTCCAGTGTGCATCACTCCCAGATATCTGTCTCTGCTTATTACATTTGACATGATTCCCCACAGGGATGGAAAACAGGAACTTTCCAACTTCTAGAACAATGTACATCAACTAGACATTCTCAGGGTGAGAATGTCGTGTTTCCACATGAACTCGAGTGGACAATTTCCTTCCCGATAAGCACCATCAAGAAGGCATGATCTTTGGAGACAGCTGGATGTGATCATCACCCCCTCCTTGCTGCTGAGGTGTCTGGCTGGCCTCAGTCCAGCAGCCTTCCTTTCCTGTCTGCCTTGTAGCTATGAGTCCTCTTGGGGTGGGTGAATGTCCCAGCCCTGTTCCAGCAGCCCTCTGGAACTGTGGCTGTGGACACCAGTCCTCAACTGAGGACTGGCGCAGGGACACAGGCAGGGGCTGTCCTATCCATGCCATTTCATGACACCAATTCTAAACAGTCAAAGAAACATACTTAGGCAGCTAGCATAGGGTACAGTTTTGCCTCTAAAATAGGATTTGTTGCTTTATTTTACATTATGAATGCAAGAAGTGTACATCATAAAAAGCACAGAAAAGCACAAAGAAAATAAAATAATAAAATTCAATTATGATCACATTCAGATAACCACAGTACATTTTTTGAGTGGATGTCTTTTTATTTATTTTTTGTGTGAAAATTGGTAGGGTAGAATTTGTAGCTGGGATCAGAGAGTCTTCTTTTAAAACTTAGTTATATTAGCTGTTAGGCCAGCAAACAAAAGAATGTTAAGAGATGGTCCCCTTCTAAAACTGTGTGTAACTCCCCGCTGGCCTACCCTGACAAAACTCCATTGACATGATTTTAAATTCTCATAATGGCTCACAGCCACAAAGTGCAGCTTCCTGGCACAGCTCTCTTGCTTCACAAGGCAGCCATAGATTAAGAGCCAGGGGTGTGTTGGCAGGAAAAGCAGACACAGTGACCTTCTTGCTGCATGGAATCATTATGTCTGGGTGCACTCTGAGAGTCTATTTTCGGGTTTTGCATAACTCCAGCTCTGAGGGCAAGTGCTCCCTCCCTACACTCAATGGAACTGGAAGGGGGACAAGAAGGTGTAGCGTATCAATAGGATCAGGCTGTCAGGAGTTAGGCTACCCTACTCAGGCATGTTGGTGCACCTGTAACCTAGATTAGGTCTCATCAAAGGAAGTAGTCCTCAATGTGTGACCCAAATCCACAATAAAATGCCCTTAAAATATTCTAAAAGAGTTTCTGTTAGACTCATTTTATATCTGTAATTTCACTTCTGGATGATATTCTTCATTTCACTTCTCTTCTCACAGGCAAAGGAATATTATCAGCTACCTGATCAGTCAGTCCATTTGCAGTGGGTGTTGGGCATTGAGTTCAGCATAAAGGGACACCTCCACCTTGCCTTCTCCTCCACACAAACTCTTGCTCCCTCTCTTGTGCCATCTCGGCAGAACACTTCGTTCTCAAATCCCTCACTCAATTTAGAACCAAACTGAGCAAAATTGCTTCTAGTCCAGTCCTTCTTGAAGAACGCACCAGCATGTTTGCTATACACCACACACCAGAATAATCTTGAGATATGAAGACTGGTGTGTCAGCAATAAGTCTCAATAGCCCTAAAAGACTAAGTTTTGAATTAAAAATAGGATAGGGGGGATTACAGAGTAAGCGCATGCTCGATCATGCTGGGGATAGCAGAATTGGTCCAGCCCCACAAGAATGGATCCAGTCACCTACTCAAGCAGAGGAGGAGGAAAGGGAGCACATTTTGCCCTGATCTCAGAGGCCGAGATGCAGGAAGGGGCAGACAGGAGTGGGCCTGTAGGCTATATATACCAATTGGCATGCATATGTTGCACCTAGGGCAGTGACAAATGGCCCACTGCATTTCCCTGTCTTGTTCAGAACCACCTGGGAAAACAGCAGGCTGTTGACTTGGATGCTAGAAAGAGCTGAGCTGTTGGTTTGCAGCATAGTACTGTCTTTCTGCAAAATTTCAAGCACCATTTGATTGCTTTCTTATTAATACCAGTACAATTCTGTTATGGGAAAGTAGCTTCTTAGTCCACACAAGAATTCTTTTCTCTGGGATTTCTCAGGATAAAAACATAGTGCTAGGAGAGAGATGTATAAAGCATAAACCTGAAATCTCAAACTGCACTGCTAGGTCAGGTCCTTTGTCAGCCAAGTTTAATGCCTTGTACGATTTCTTCCTCAGGCTGAGAATAAACCATGATTTGGTACAGGCCAAACTCAGAGGCACACAGTGGAAAGAGTGGGAGCAGGTGGATAAGAGGGAGACAGCAAAACGGAGGGGGAGACTAGATTAATGAAAGCCTGATTAGAAATTGTTAAAATAAAAAGACTTGTCTGTTAAACTGTGACCCCTGCAAAGAATAGAATATGGGTTTTACAAAAGCAGGAGACCCAAACAGCCTGCAGCTAAACATCCTTGTGTTTCTGGGACAGTCTGCCATTGGAAGTGATTTCCATGGGAACTTGACTGGCATTATGAGGATGTGTTCTCAGGCATAGAGGAAGGAATGAAAGCATGCAGAAAAGTATATCCTCTGAAGCCCCTGTATCTTAGCAGCTTCCCCCAAACCTCCACGAGGATCACGAAGTTACAAAAAGTGTATTGTTCTTAGAGGCACGATAACTAAACCTTTGCTGTGGTTCACCGAGTAAGTCACATAGTCTCCCACATTTTCCTGAGATTTCCTAAATGTTTAAAATTAGGGTACTAATATTTCCCGAGTCACCTTTTCTCATTGGTTGTGAGGCTTAAAACAAAACGTATTAGTCAATTTTCCATTGCTGTAACATAATACCCAAGGCTGGATAACTTATAAAGAAAACAAGTTTATTCAGCTCATGTTTTTGGAGGGTGGAAGTCCAAACAGCATGGGACTTGCTTTCCATGTGTTGCATCGCATCATGGCAGGTAGCATCATGGTGGGAGTTTGCACAACAGGGAGAGATAAACATGGTGAGAGGTCTGCTCTATGACGTTATAACCATAGTCAGTGATAATGTACTGCACATTTAAAATCGGTTAAGAGGGTAGAGATCATGTTAAGTGTTCTTACCATAATAAAATACAACTTAAAAGGAGTAGTTGGCATCTCAGATCCAAATATATCCTGGAAGGGTCACGTGTCACCTCTACAACCAAAGGTGGTTAACAAAGCAAGTCAAAGAACCAAGTTCATTTATTCACTCTTCCTCTTAAACACATATTTTAAAAAAATTTGAGAACTTGTTAGATATTCCTAGTTAGTTTTTGGTAGTGCAGGGTCCAACTATTTCAAAATCCTACATTTTCCAGGGAAAAGTGCAGGCCACCAAGCAATCTGGAGTGCTCCCTAGTCTCCTCTGGTACTGCAGAGATGTGAGGACCCAACATTTTCATTACCACCTGTGCCCTTGGCAATTCAGGGGAATCCACTAAGGCCCTCGGTTTGGGGGCATTATTGTAGAACTATGGAATGGCTAGATGTGTCTCTGCTCCCACAGAGTTCTGCATCATTAACACTGGTCCAGGACCCAGAAGCTTGACCTTTACATGAGAGATTCTGCTTCAGAGAGGAGCCG